TAAAAAGAACAAAAAATTTAAATCTGATTCAGCGTCGTACTCGCCGAGTCTGGGCGAATTGTAACACCAATTTCAAACCAATTTTTCGACTTTTATAAAAACATAATTCCGTCAATATTCATAAAACAACCATTTTAATTGTTCAACAAAACAGTACAAAATCCCAAGATCAAAATGTCAAGCTCCAAACGTGTGTGTGTACGGATCAAGCCGGCGCCTTCCCGCGGTCGTCACTAGTACCTGAAACAAATAACATCAACACTGTAAGCACAAGGCTTAGTGAGTTCCCCAAAATACCATATAACACATATTAGCCACTCTAGGCTATAACTCTGTGGGTCCGTGCACCCAAACTCTGTGAACCCTCAGGTTCTAACTCTGATAAACATGCACCACATAAATCACATAGAAATCATGCAGTACAACACATAACATACATAGCAAAAATACTCTATCACATAGCTCTGGTTACCTACTCAAGGTAAAGTATAGTGAGAAGACTCACCTCGCGCGTCTCGGTAAATCGTAACCCTGAAATCGCTAAACACTCGATCTGCCGAGCTGTAGTCCCCCTATAGCACAATACATCTCTAATTAACACTTTCCCAACTGGGGTTGACCACACTTAACAAGTCAATCTAGGTCAACGGTCAACGGTCAACTTTGACCGGACTCGGCGAGTGCACTATAGCGACTCGGCGAGTCTGAGCGCATGCACCAATTTCCCTGGAACCCTCCCTTGACACGTCGAGCATTTCCCTCAGCTCGACGAGTTCCACCTGGCACGAGTTGTGGGGCCACCACGACTCAACTCGCCGAGTCTCAAGAACAACTCGGCGAGTCCAGTTTGACTCGGTCCACCTGTCCATCCTGACTCCCCCTTTGACTCACTGAGTTCACCCTTCCCAACTCGGCGAGGCCACTCGCTGAGTGGTCGGGCAACATTCATGCTACTCGCCGAGTCTGTTCTTCGGACTCGGCGAGTCCGTGCCATGCACTGACTCAATCTTGCTCTAAAGGTCAGATCCAGTCCATTAATCCATAGATCCAGTCCCTCCAAGCTTATTTAGCACGTAAAGTCACAATCTTGATGCACATACAACCTCTATGTGACCATATATGATGTTTTAGACTCAAATACAACAACACAAGGTCAAGGACTCTATTGTCCACCCATAAAGCTTGGTGAGTGAGGCCCTCTGGACCTCTATGGATCCAGATCCATGGTCTCAACTCAAAGAGGGAACCAATGGGCACCAAATCACCCCATAAATGACCACATTAACCCTAAATTGCATCAATCTTCACTAAACAGAAAATGGTCCGAAATAATACCTCTAGAGTGATGATCTAAGCTCCAAGTCCACGAAATGGCAGCCTCCTTTGCTTCCTCTTGCCTAGGGTCTTCTTCTTCTTGCTAAACAACACACACAAGATCAAGAATGGCTCTCTTTCCTTCACAAAACGCTCAAGAACTCTAGGGACACTCTCTGGGGGTTGGGTGAGCACAAATGACGGCCATAAGGCCCTTTAAATAGGCCTCAAACCCGGAGATTTAGGGTTTCATTACACAGCGCAGACTCGCCGAGTCCATACCCTGGACTCGCCGAGTCCAAGCGCGCACCAGGATCAATTCCGCGTCCCTACTCGGCGAGTCTGAGCTCCAACTCGCCGAGTCCCTCTCACAACATATCAAAATTTAACTTACAAGATACCTGGTAAAATCCGGATGTTACAACTCTCCCCCACTAGAACTGGACTTCGCCCTCGAAGTCCGCTCTAAAACAGCTCCGGATGCTGCTCCCGCATCATACCCTCCGGCTCCCAGGTCATCTCTGATCCCTTCCGATGTTGCCACTGAACCAATACCAGAGGTACCTCCTTGTTCCTCAAAATCTTGATCTTCCGATCCCTAATAGCCACTGGTCTCTCCGCATAATTCAGGCTCGCATCTACCTGAATATCCTCTAGTGGAACCACTGCCGACTCATCGGCTATACATTTCCTCAACTGCGATACATGAAAAGTGTTGTGAATCTGCCCCAACTCTGCTGGTAACTCCAGCCGATAGGCTACCCGGCCTACCCTGGCAATCACACGAAACGGGCCAATAAACCGGGGCCCCAATTTGCCCCTCTTCCTGAACCGGATCACTCCTTTCCAAGGAGAAACCTTCAGGAGAACAAAGTCGCCGACCTGAAATTCCAGCTCGGACCGGCGTCTATCCGCGTAACTCTTCTGTCGGCTCTGAGCGGTCAGTAACCTCTGCCTGACCAGCTGTATCTGCTCTGTCGTCTGATTCACGATCTCTGTACTGCCCATTACCCTTTGCCCAACCTCTCCCCAACATATGGGAGTCCGACACCTCCTACCATACAACAGCTCAAAGGGCGGCATACCAATGCTCGAATGATAGCTGTTATTGTAGGAAAACTCCGCCAAAGGCAAATGCGTGTCCCAACTACCCCCAAAGTCCAATACACAAGCTCGAAGCATGTCCTCGAGTGTCTGTATCGTCCGCTCACTCTGACCGTCGGTCTGGGGGTGGTATGCGGTACTAAAATGCAGCTTAGTACCCAACTCCTCATGAAATTTCTTCCAAAAACGGGAAGTGAAACGCACATCGCGGTCTGAAACAATCGAGATCGGCACCCCATGCCGAGATACAACCTCCCTCACGTAAATCTCCGCCAACTTCTCCGCCGAAGAACTCTCACTGATGGCAAGAAAGTGAGCGCTCTTTGTCAACCTATCCACAATCACCCAAATTGCATCAACTCCTCTGGCAGTCCTCGGCAATTTGGTGATAAAGTCCATAGTGATCTGTTCCCACTTCCACTCGGGAACCTCCAATGGCTGCAACTTGCCATGCGGTCTCTGGTGTTCGGCCTTTACCCTTCGACAGGTCAAACACCTCTCGACAAACCATGCTACGTCCCTCTTCATACAAGGCCACCAATACTCCTTTCTTAGGTCCAAATACATCTTCGTGGCCCCGGGATGGATTGAAAATTTCGATCTATGAGCCTCCTCCATCAATGTAGCACGTGTACCGCCCACAAACGGTACCCAGATCCTGCCCTGATAAGTCATAAGGCCTCGACTATCCGATATAAACTCAGAAACCAACCCAACAACCCGCTCTCTCTTCTGCATCTCCGGACGCACGGCCTCGGCCTGAGCCCCACGAATGGCGTCCAGAACTGGAGCTATCACGGTCAATCTCAAACATACATCTCGCAGTGGAGTACTCTCCGCCCTGCGACTCAATGCGTCGGCTACCACATTAGCCTTGCCCGGGTGGTACAAGATCTCGCAATCATAATCCTTGACCACGTCTAACCATCTTCTCTGCCGCATATTTAGGTTAGGCTGATCCATCAAGTACTTCAAACTCTTATGGTCCGTGTAAATCGTACAACGAACCCCATACAAGTAGTGCCGCCAAATCTTGAGGGCGAACACCACTGCCCCCAACTCCAAATCATGTGTGGGGTACCTCGTCTCGTGAGGCTTCAACTGCCTCGATGCATATGCTATCACATGACCCTTCTGCATCAAACCGCTCCCAGTCCTAATCGATGCATCACAGAATACCACAAACCTTCCATTCCTTCCGGAAGAGCTAATACGGAGCTTCACACAACCTCTGGCGAAGCGTCTCAAAGGAGGTCTGCTGCTCGGGACCCCATGAAAATGTAACACCCTTCCGGGTCAATCTGGTGAGTGGAACCGCAATCTTGGAGAAATCCTTAATAAACCTCCGGTAATACCCTGCCAACCCAAGGAAACTCCGGATCTCAGAAGGTGACCTTGGCACCTCCCACCTCATCACTGCGTCAACCTTGGCCGGATCGACCAATATCCCCTTCTGGTTAACGAGATGTCCCAGAAACTGGACCTCCCGCAACCAGAAATCGCACTTGGAAAACTTTGCGAAAAGTTTCTCCGATCTCAAAACTCCAAGAACCTCCCTCAAATGCTCCTCGTGCTGCTCTCTAGATCTCGAATATACCAGAATGTCATCAATGAAAACAATCACCGACCGATCAACATCGGCCGACATACCCTGTTCATGAGGTCCATGAACACAGCCGGGGCATTGGTGAGCCCAAAAGGCATCACCACAAACTCATAATGCCCATAACGCGTCCTGAATGCTGTCTTCTGGACGTCCTCGTCCCGCACTCTCACCTGATGATAGCCCGACCTCAAATCAATCTTGGAGAACCAAGATGCTCCCTGTAGCTGATCGAATAAATCGTCGATCCTCGGCAGCGGGTAACGGTTCTTGACCGTCAGCTTATTCAATTCCCGGTAATCAATACACATGCGATGCGAGCCATCCTTCTTCTTCACAAACAGGATGGGTGCTCCCCACGGCGAGCTACTCGGCCGAATAAACCCCTTCCCCAGCAACTCCTGAAGTTGCGAGGATAACTCCTGCATCTCTGGAGGCGCAAGGCGATACGGCACTTAGCAATAGGCGCGGCTCCAGGAACCAAATCGATGCCAAACTCCACTTGCCTCACGGGAGGCACACCTGGTAACTCTTCGGGAAAGACGTCAGGAAACTCACGCACCACCGGAACTGCATCCACAGAGCTCGGTCTCTCTGAGATCACTCGCGTATCCATCACATACGCTACATAACCCTTACAGCCCTGCTGTAAACACTGCCTCGCCCTAGCAGCCGAACAAAAGGCCGATCCAGAACGTGTACCCTCGCCGTACACCGAAAGAACTCCCCCACTAGGATCTCGTATAGTCACCAGCTGACGCTCGCAATCGATAACCGCACCGAATCGGCTCAACCAATCCATGCCCACTATAACACAGACATCACCCATCGCAATCGGAATCAGGTCGATCGGAAACTCAACCCCGAATATCTCCAATACACATCCCCGGAAGACCTCAGTAGCACAAATCACTCTGTCGGCGGCTATGGAAACCCGCAGGGGCCGACTCAATGTCCCACGACTAACACTGATACGCTGACTAAATGCCAAAGACACAAAAGATCGACTCGCACCCGAGTCAAATAACACTAAAGCAGGTACAGAATTCACAAGGAAGGTACCTATGCATAGCATAATATAAGCATAATATCTCAACACCGTAAATAAATAATGAAAAGGAAACATACCAGCCACAACGTCGGGCGCAGCGCGGACCTCTTCCGCAGTCAGCTGGAAGGCTCTTCCCCGAGCCCTCGGTGCCTCGGCCTTCACGGGCCGACTCTCTGTAGCAGCAGCTCTGATGGCGGCGGGAGCAGACCCCTGAGATGCCCCGCGCAGCAGCGGACACTCCGCCTTCCGGTGTCCGGTCTGGTTGCAGTGGAAGCACACTGCAAATCCCTTGGGGCAGTCCTTAGCCATATGCCCCTCCTTGCCACATTTGTAGCAAGACCCTGCCCGACAGACTCCATCGTGACCCTTGCCGCACTTCCCACAAGTGCGGCCCTTCTGGCTCCCGGGTCTGGGATCAGCGGGCTTGGCCCGCTTGGCTGCCGGCTGGGACTGTGCCGGCCGCCGATCCCTCCCCAGAGACTCCGCCTCCTCCCTGGCCTGAGTCTCAAGCTCAATCTCCCTCTTCCGAGCATTCGCCTGAAGCTCGGCAAATGTCCGGTACGAGGAGTTCGCAGCGAACTCCCGAATATCCCGCCTCAGAATGCTCAGGTAACGGCTCATACGTGCCTGCTCGGTGGACACGTGCTCAGGGCAGAACATCGCCCTCTCATGAAACATCCTCGTAATCGCTGTAACTGACTCGGTACCCTGCTTGAGGGTCAGAAACTCCTGCGCCAGACGTTCCCTCTCCACCTGAGGAACGTACTCATCTCGGAACATGGTAGTGAACCTCTCCCAGGTCACTGCCGAAAGCTCAGTCGGTGTGAAGTGCGCAGTCACAAACTTCCACCAGTCCTTCGCTCCCAAGCGAAGCTGGTTCAGCGCGAACCGAACCTTCAAATGCTCAGGGGACGAGCAAGTGAAGAAGCATCCCTCCATATCAGATATCCACCTCATAGCTGCCACCGGATCCTGCGTACCATCAAACTCTGGTGGCTTGGTGTTGCTGAACTCCCTAAACAACATCGCATCACCTCCCTGGGGCCTTGCCGCAGCAATCGCTGCGGTAGCCGCTGCAACCGCAGCCTCAGAAAGAGCGGCATAGCGCTCGTCAAACGTCTCAATCAAAGCGGTCTTAATAGACCCGAACATCTCTGGTATCTCAGCTCTGATGACCGCAGCCACCTCCTCGTGAATGATCTGTCGAATCTCCTCATCACTAGCTCCGGCATCCTCTGGCATATGACGTGTCCTCACCATGATCAACCTCTGAAATACAACATGCGATAATTAGAATTCACTCGAACACTCTTACATTCAACAATCCACCCCTCCTTGATTCTTGGCATCCCAAGATTCTTATTTGGACTGTGTACCGCACCGGTGCTTTTAGTAGTACGGGCCCAATACTACTGTCCGCACCGTCTCAGTACACACCCCAAATCGTCCTCTTCGGATCCCAGTCCCCAAGTACTCTATTATACTTAAATCACTCTGTAACAGGTCTCACACAAAGCCCTAGCTGCTACCTAATTACTCTCAGCGTCTCATAGCAGCTCACCATTCCCTAAGCTAAGGCATCACAAAACAGGCCACTCTAGTCCTATCAGCAATACCTAGCCTACTCTAGCATGCAAACACATCACATTAATAATTATCACATAACAAAAGATATTTTGGGAATTCACCGTTCGGGCGCTGACTGATCGTACACACGTCTCTTCCTGGAAAATCCTTTACTCTTAGAAAATTTTTGGTTTTATTTTGAAAATATCTCTTTAATTCCTCAGTTTGAGTTCAAATACCCCCGAAGGTGTACCCGAATCCCTCAAACCAAGGCTCTGATACCAATTTGTAACACCGAAAATTTCAAACCAATTTTTCGACTTTTATAAAAACATAATTCCGTCAATATTCATAAAACAACCATTTTAATTGTTCAACAAAACAGTACAAAATCCCAAGATCAAAATGTCAAGCTCCAAACGTGTGTGTGTACGGATCAAGCCGGCGCCTTCCCGCGGTCGTCACTAGTACCTGAAACAAATAACATCAACACTGTAAGCACAAGGCTTAGTGAGTTCCCCAAAATACCATATAAACACATATTAGCCACTCTAGGCTATAACTCTGTGGGTCCGTGCACCCAAACTCTGTGAACCCTCAGGTTCTAACTCTGATAAACATGCACCACATAAATCACATAGAAATCATGCAGTACAACACATAACATACATAGCATAAAATACTCTATCACATAGCTCTGGTTACCTACTCA